GAAAACCGCATTGTTCCTCCTGAATCCGAGGTTCGACTATCGGTCAAATTCTCCTCTCCAGTACCCTGGCATAGACTTTCCCGGGGAGGCTGAGGAGTGTGATCCCCCTATAGTTGGAACACACCCTCCGGTCCCCCTTCTTAAAAAGAGGGGCCACCACCCCGGTCTGCCAGTCCAGAGGCACTGTCCCCAGCCGCCATGTGACATTGCAGAGGCGTGTCAGCCAAGACAGCCCCACAACATCCAGAGACTTGAGGTACTCAGGGCGGATCTCATCCACCCCTGATGCCTTGCCACCGAGAAGCTTCTCAACTACCTCGGTGACTTCAGCTTGGGTGATGGACGAGTCCACCTCCGAGTTCCCGGCCTCTGCTTCCTCATCAGAAGACATGATGCTGGGGTTGAGGAGATCCTCGAAGTATTCCTTCCACCTTCCGACAATATCCCCAGTCGAGGTCAACAACTGCCCACCTCCACTGTAAACAGTTTTGGCTGGGCACTGCTTCCCCCTCCTGAGGCGCCGGACGGTTTGCCAGAATTTCTTCGAGGCCGACCGATAGTCCCTCTCCATGGCCTCACCAAACTCCTCTTGGCCTGCCGGTGCCCATCAGCTCCCTCAGGAGACCCAAACGTAACTTGAGGGTCTGTTGGGAACGTTTGGCAGAAACCCCTGTCCAGGATCTTCAACTCCCACCTCCGGCAGAGCTTTGAATCTGAGTTTGTAAAACTAAATTTAAATATTTTAGGTGTCATTTACTCATAGGTATCGATTGTTCCTATTTATTAGCAAATATTCAGAGAAGTCTGCTTTTAGAAGTTACCTGGCTACTTCAATAATCCTGCTTGGTGCAATACCACCTGGACTCTAGTTTCTAGAAGCAACTTTCCTATGAATTGTGGATTGTCTTTTTTTTTTTTTTTCTTTTTTGGTGTGTGAATAACCTGTGAACAAGTAGGCATTTTTTACAATAAACTCAGTTGAGTATCTTTTTTTTGCTAGGGACTTATATTTTCTTATATTTTTTTATATTTTCTTATAATTTTGAATCACACGTACATTGACAATTTGATTATCTTTTCACTTAGTAGTTTGACCTACTTTTTCTAACTAGCTTTAATTAACCCAAATAGATTTCTCCCTTGGGTACTGTAGTTCAACTTCTTATAGTGTGAAGTAACTGATATCTTCCCTAACACTGCATGTGGGACTGTCTGCTGTACCTCACAATGGGCTGAACAATGACAAGATGCTGTTTGCCAGAAGTGTCATTATTCATATATATGGCATCTGCTAACAGTTCATTTTTTTTAGGTGTCAGCATCCAGGGTGAATGACAGACATGGCTGGCTGGTCCAGTGTAATGAACCTCTGCAGTTTATGTCTCTGCACATACCTGAAGAGAACAGGTGGTGTACCCACAGCTACACACAAACAGCATTAATTTACATTAATTCCCTGGTAACTTACCCTAATCACTACTCACCTAACACTAAACCTTACTCTCAACCAAGACTTGGTCAAAAGGTGGTCCCCACAATGTGACTGTGTAAACAGATCTATATCCCCACCCCATGATTAATACAAGTACACACTCACACCTTTTCATTCTCCTACTTCCTCATTTCTCATGCGGTCTCTCTCTCTCTCTCTGTTGTCTAGGTCAGTGGATATTCTGGAGCTGTCAGAGCAGAGGGACTTATTAAAGTTTCACTACCATACCCTCAGATTGTACTCTGCAGTTTGTGCTCTGGGAAACAATCGAGTCGCACATGCCCTCTGCTCCCATGTAGACGAGGCACAGCTCCTGCAGGCTATAGAGGATAAATACATGCCAGGTAACGCATACAGCATATGGATAAAATAACTGCCTGTGAGGTATTAGAGCCTATTCCTGAGAAATAACTAGAGGCCAGAAAAAGTCTGAGTTTTCCCTTAAATATCACTTAAGTTCATGCCATGTTAAAGGTTATGCCTGTTTCCAAACTGTCTCTCTCAATAACAGTCCCTGTTAAGATAGTTCAGTCATTTCTGGAATCAATAGCAAAACACAGACACCAAGGTAAGTGTAGTAGTTTATTGTATTTGAATTGTAACAAGGAGTAGTTACTGAGGGCAGAAGCTGAAGGCTGACAGGTAGACAGTAACTTAACGGCTGGCGGCTACACAGGCACAATGAGTGGAGTAGGAGAGCAGTTGGGAAAGCAGGTCTGATCCGCGGAGCCCACTGTTGAGCATAGTTTGACAAGCTGAGCAACAGATTTTATATGTTGAGGCTGGGTGGCAAGGTCAGTGTTGTGAGACTGGATAGGCTGGCAAAGACAGATTGAAGCAAACCTCACACAGGAGGGAAGTAAAACAAGGGAGGGAGAGAGAAAGAAGGACAGTATGCTCCCTAACAATTCCTCTATAATACTGTAAAGTCAGTAGTTTATGCTATGGTAATAGTGAATTCAGATCAGGAAAAGTTGGAAAAAGTATTCAGATCCTTTACTTAATTAAATTGAGCAATACTACAATTTAAAAACTACATGAAAAGTTCTGCTTTAAATAACACTGGTCTTATTGCATATATTTCTTAATGTCAACAAATCCTATGTGCAGAGTCAAACCAACAGTGTATTAGCTAATTTTTCAATACATTTTGAATTTATTTTCAAAGGCAATAGGCCAGTATATGTGTGACTGATTCAAAATAAACTACAGTGTGTGTTTATTGTAATGAAGGAACATATGGAACAGTGCCACAGTGTGGATTACTCATGTGTTGCTAGTAGTCTTTGTAGACTATAAGAAAAAAAAAATAGAATCCCAAAAGGCCCACCTATTAAAGAAAACATACAGGCATGTTATCAGCAAAATGTAAATATAACCCTGATACTCCTGATTTTGACAATATTGCACAGGTGAAAGAAGGTTGTTCTAGAGACTTGGTTTATGTGTGAATAAAGGACATATCATGGTCAAAAAATTTGTGATGTGACGTTCCGTATCGAGGCTTCGAAGCATGTGCTGAGTAGGGGAGGGGCGTTTCCGCGATGCGCGTATTGAGGCTTGCGTCATTTAGGGGAGGAGCTGAAAATGATGACGTCCGAAGCCTCGCTGCCCGGCTGTACCACGTGACTGATTCAGGAAGTGGTTCAGATTTTGCCGCGAGTTTTGACAGCGATATAAACCCCTCAGGCTCCATTCAAAATGTGGGTGTTTGATGATAATCATTTCCATTTTCATCATTTCCAAATAATCATTTTCCATACTGCCAGTATATATATATATATACACAGTATACTGCCATCACTACAATATACATGTTTTGCATACTTCTTTATTTTGCGGACAGTTTTATTCACAGGCTTTCTGCAAAATGCCACACACTTCAAATTCATGCCAACTGATATTGTTGCATCCAGTAGATGTCCTCCTAGAGCAAATGAAGCTTCAAGAAGCTTTGCGCTGGAGTGAACCAATTGGATGAAAGGCTTCATTGCTTCATGAAGCTTCATCTGCCCATCACTACAAAAAATACTGGAGGCCAGGGCCATGCCATCTAGAGTAACTATGTGATTAGATAGCACATTTCTAAGATTTTCAGGCCCAAGCACAATAACTTGTTTTGTTGGAGTTCAGAAGTAAGGAATTACAAGTCTCCAGGCCTTTTTGTTTTTAAGACATGCATGAAGTTTGACGAACTGATCTGATTCATCTGGGGTCATAGATAAATATAATTTAGTATCATCTGCATAGAAATCAAAATTTATGCTGTGTTTCATGATACTATTGCCTAAAGGGAGCATGTACACAGTGAAGAGAACTGAACCTAGCATAGAGCCCTGTGGAATGCCATGACTAACTTTAGTCTGCACGGAAGATTCATCATTAATATGAACAAATTAGAATCTATGGTAGATATGTTAATGCTCTGTTTTGATAGCTAAAGCTAGTGAGCTAGGGCAGAGAAGGTACCCACAGCAGCTTTTGTTTGTAGATGGAGCCCACTGTTACAGGGCAGTTCTTTCCCTTTAAGACAGATAGTCTTTTAGGAAATGTTGTTGATGTTGCTAGAAGTATGAGAGTGAGAAAACCACCGCATGGAACAGATTCCTTTTACTTGCAGCAATGGAATAAGGATAATCACCTTTATTGGCCAAGTATGTTACACACAAGGAATTTGTTTCTGGTACAGAATAAAGCTGGTGTTTGCAACAGAGTTAGCTGGCCTCCCTCTTGAATTGTGGGATTGTCACCAAACATTTGTGTGCATGCTATGGACACAACATTTTGCTAACAGTAGGATTGTTTTAGGGCAGTCTATAATGCATCTATCTTAGCTAAAAAAAAAATAAATACAGCTAGCTAGGTAGAGTGAATTTGGGCAGAGTGGGCCCCCTTAACCCTGTAAAGTCCAACATATCAAAAAATAGCCAGAACATTCTAATTTTTTTGGAACTGAGATGTTTATTAAACCTTTTAATAAAATCCAAAATAAAATTTATGATTCGAAATTCAAGACTCACGATTTTTATTTGCCATATATGCATAGACTGACAGTCCTGGCATATAGGAATAGAGGTTCCATATTATTTAGATTATTTTTATTTCTTCATGTATCACATTTGATACATGGGCATTTTTGGTGATTTTTTTTTTCGCTCAGAAACCTCACGAATCAAATATGATACAAATGGTTTGATATGGTTAAAGAGTAGTCTGTTCATTAATAAGAACATAAACTGTATATTTTAGGTTTGTTGTTTTAGTTGAATATTTCTTACCATATTATATGATATAATCTTTCTCTTTGTCTCTCATTTATAGGTTTGCTTCGTGCAGGCTACTATGACCTCCTCATTGACATTCACTTGAGTAGTTACACCACAGCTCGCCTCATGATGAACAACGAGTACATTGTTCCAATGACGGATGAAACAAAGAGCATTACCCTGTTTCCTGATGAGAAGAAGAAACATGGCCTGCCAGGTATTGGCCTCAGCACCTCTCTGAGACCCAGAATGCACTTCTCATCTCCAAATTTTGTCTGTGGGACTGGATCATCATATCGTAACAACAGCAACAACGGATTAGGATCAGGAGAATGTTTCCAGTACAGCCCTGAATTCCCCTTAGATATACTGAAAATTAAAACCATCGAGATGCTGACAGAAGCGGTGCGGGAGGGGAGCATGCATGTACGGGATCCAATCGGAGGCAGCACTGAGTTTCTTTTTGTCCCCCTCATTAAGCTCTTCTACACGATGCTCATCATGGGAGTTTTCCAAAATGGAGATCTGAAGAATATTCTTCGACTGATTGAACCATCTGTGTTCTGTGAAAGACAAGAAGGGCAGGAGGAGAAGCACACAGAGTTGGAGGTAGTGAAAGAGAAGACTGAGGGAGGGGCGGATGTAGGAACGAACAGGCCAAAAGGACTGTTACAGATGAAGCTGCCAGAGCCTGTAAAACTCCAGGTAACAGCCTGTAAACCTTCAGTTTGTAAATGCAATTATATTTTTACTATATTAGTTTGTTGGTGTAATTAAGTTTCATCCAAACATATGTTTAGTTATACATGTGATATAATGTCCAAACAAAAAACTGTTAAAACCACTGTAATTCTGAAATGTCCAGATTCCAGGATAGTGTGGGTGTGATCAGATGCAAATAAAATCATAAGATCTTGACCAAACAACTAAGCTGTAGGTTGCTATGGCAATGCACAGTAAAGACAATGGCAGAATCTCAGCAGAAAGTCTTTTTTACATTTCCTATTGTAACATTATTGTTTAATTCCATTAGATTGGTTTTAATATGATGACATAAACATGATCCTGGTTATGATCCACAGTCTTATTCACAACATTTAGCTGTTCAGAACCAAATCAACTTTATTACTAGCATGTAAATACAGTAACTACAACATGATAAGATACTTTCATGGTTTACATTTGAAGGCTTGAAAGCAGCTCATCCCCAGCTCCCATGGGCCAATAATTCCAACACAAACAGAGTCAGTTGCCTGTTGATTCCCAGAGGCCCAACTGCTGCTATGTCTTGCAGTGACAGGCTCCTCTGTGGTGCTATTGCTAATGCTAGCTTTAACGTTAGATGTTGTAACTACTTCATTTTCAGCATTAGAAGTGTTGTTTTCATCTATGATTAGGGGTTGCACAGATCAGTCAACTAGTCATCTTCACTACATAGAGTCGACCTTTTGAACATGACATTGACTAGTCGCTGACCATGTGAGCTTCACTACCAACAGTGTTACCTGATGTAGCAAATGCTGTTGATGCACACATCACGTAGTCAGTCATTTTTGCCACTAAACACTGACAAACTGAAGAAACTCCTGGAAAAGCTGGGTGAAAATGTCAACCTCCAAACCGACTACCAAATCAGATGGAATTCCACCATGGTCATGCTTGCTCAGCTGTTAGTTGTGCAGTCTGTCTTCACTAATGATATGCAGCTAATCTAGCATTAGAAGCTGAGTCATGTAACCACACAGAATTTCTCCTATATGTCCAACTTGGCCTTTGATGATCTATTTTCTACAATTTTGTATTCACCACTAGCTATTTTTGCTTTTAGGTTATCCATTTTGATACACTGATGCCTAGCCTGCATTGATATCTGAGTGACATCTTATTAGTTGGATGTGAGTGGAGGTTGTGCCTTAGGCCTTCACAACAAAGAAAATTATGTTGGATTAGATGTTTAAAAGCAGCTGCACCTTTATTTATTTATTTTTAAATTATGTTTATTTAGCTCTCTACCTGCCCACATTTACTTCATTTTTATCTGTGCTTGTACCCATGAATTAATAATTTTATTTTATTTTTTTATCCATTACACATCATTTTTGCAGGTACCCATGTGGTACCCGCAGGACTCTACTTGGGAGTTTGAACTTGTTTAGTTGGAGTTAAAATTCCTGAGGATGGGAGTCCTAGTGTCCTTGCTGACAGATTACTTTGATCAAGATGATGATGGACACACTGGCTATCAAGACAGCTTGTTCTGCTAAGCAGTTCTCACATTGCCAAAAACATCAGAGCAAATTTCCAAACTGGCATAAACTTTTACTTTATTGCCAGAAAAAATATCAGAACTTAATAAAGTGGCATAATACCAGTCCAGACAAAAAATTATAACTAAAACTAAGTCATCACTGCTGGTTGGCATGCAGTGCATTTTGGGATACTGCTCCATGTCCACACAAGTCTGCTCCCAAAATGGGTAGAGGAGAACACTTCCTTTGCTAGATATGGAATGGGCTGTGACTGATGACACAAGTCCACAAGAACAGAAGTACAGATAGGAATGCAGGTTGATTGATTTGGAGTTGGTGGGTGGCTCTTGTTTAGGGCTGTTGGATCTGACCAATCAGTGCACTCTGGGCTTTTTGGGAGGCTAGCCTTACTCAGACAGGATCCCAGGATCTCTGTTCCTTTTAGGTTTTAGCAATTCTAACTCAGTACTTTGAAATGTTTTAAATCTGCAAGGACTCTGCAGTAACAGTGAGGCCAAACCTTTGTGACAAACTGTTTCCTGCAAACTTAGTTCACTTTTTCCTTATCTTAGTTTTTTGCAATATAATACGCAGTATACCTAACCTTACATGATTCTGTGTGCCCAATCTGTATGTGTGTAGATGTGCCACGTGCTGCAGTACCTGTGTGACTGTCAGGTCCGTCATCGTATTGAGGCAGTGGTGGCCTTCTCTGATGACTTTGTAGCCTGTCTCCAAAACAACCAGAGGTTCCGCTACAACGAGGTGATGTTGGCACTCAACATGTCTGCAGCCCTCACTGCCAAGAAGACAAAAGAGTTCAGATCACCTCCACAGGAACAGGTAGGAGCACCTTTACTTCAGTCTTCCCAAGACTAACTTCTGAATACTTTAACATCACAGGCGGGCATACTTTCCTCTGGAAAATTTGAAACCTCTTTGTCTAAACAGCACAACAAAGTCAATTGGTCATTAAGTAATGGAAGAAAAATAAAAGAAAATAAAGTGCAAAATTGGGTTGAATTAAGATACATTATTAAAAAGCAATGGCCATGAAAGCCATTGTGCTGCTGCTAAAAGCACTTTCACCTTGTTGAGCCCAAACTCTGGGCACCACTAACTGACCAGTCCCTGCAGATCTGAGACACTGACTAGGCTTGTACTCCGCAAATGTATCTCTGATATATTTTGGATCTAGACCATTGAGAGACTTGTAGACAATAAGTAGGACTTTAAATTGAATTCTGTCTTTAACTGGATGCCAGTGCAAAGATCTAAAGACTGGAGTAATGTATTCTCTCTTCTTAGTTCTTGTCAGTATACCAGCAGCAGCATTTTGAATGAGTTGCAGTTGTTTAATGGTTGTACTGGGGAGGCTAGTCAGGAGTGCATTACAGTAGTCTACCCTACTAGAAGTGAAAGCATAAATGAGCTTTTCTAAATACTGCTTAGACAGAAAGTTTCTTATTTTAGCTATGTTTTTAAGATGCCCGATTGTTGATTTTGTTGCAGCTTTGATGTGACCATTAAAATTTTGATCCCGATCAATGATGAGGTGTTAGTTTTTAGTGTCCTGTATGCAAAGTAATCACTGACTGCCAGCCTTCTTTCTTTATTTCCAAAAATAAATATCTCTGTTTTGTCTATGTTTAGTTGAAGGAATTTTGTTGCATCCAACCTTACCAGTCATTTGGTAAGAGTGCTAAATATGTATTTCTCAGACTTGAGAATAATACAATAAAAAGTACTGTATAAGTATAAAGTGGTTAAAACATGCTCCCAATGTTCCACTCAAAACCTAGGACCGGATGTATTGAATTGAATTGAAATTGAATTTCTGTGATGTAATCCAGGGGCTTAATGCAGTGGTATGTAATGAATAGTACTTGTATCACAGTAACACCTACATATGGTTCTGCAGATCAACATGCTGCTGAACTTTAAGGATGAGAAGCAGGAGTGTCCCTGTCCTGAATACATCAGAGAACAGCTGCTCGACTTTCATGAAGATCTGATGAGACACTGTGGTAAACGTTCAGATTTACATACACAGTCAACCAAACATTAAGATGAATTACATGACCAGTTTGGTAACAAAGCATAGGGATCACCAATAAAAGGAACACAGATCAGTAATAGCTACATATACTGCATGCTCATGAAAACATACTGTATGTGCTGTGTACTGATTTCTACATTCTGTCAGGTATAGATTTGGATGAGGAAAGAAGGACAGATGGTGACAGTGACTTCACCATCCGAGGTCGACTCATGTCTTTGGTGGAGAAAGTAACTTATCTGAAGAAGAAGCTGACCAATCTGCCAATGGAGAAAAAAGACAGGAAACCCAGTAAGTCATATGAAATTATTTTTGTCTGTTTTTTCTTCACATTGATATTGGGTTGGATATTTTGAAAATATTTATGTGTTTCATTCTCCACCATCAAACAGACAGGACATAGGCTTAACAATCCAACATTTCTTACACATGTTGCGCTGCCAATTTCTACGTGTAGCCATTGTGAACGGATTTTTAATTTTGCACCACATTTCTATATAGGCACACGTTCATGTAGAATTGTTCCTTTTATGAAATAATAAAATATCGAGAATCGATGATTTGATTCCAGCAAGTGAACATTCAGTTCTCATAGTTGATGTGTTGGAAGCAGGAACAATGGGCAAGTGTAAGGATCTGAGTGACTTTGACAAGGGTCAAATTGTGATGGTGAGATGACTGGGTCAGAGCGTCTCCCACACTACAGGTCTTGGTGGGTGTTCTTGGTCTGTAGTGGTTAGTACCTACCAACAGTCTAAGGAAGGACAAATGGTGGACTGGCCACAGGGTCATGGATGCCCACAGCTCAATGATGATGAGGCTGGCTTACTGTAGATTAAACTTTTGACTTCCATTTGTACTTTTCAGAAGATTAACATTTATTTGAATCTTTGTTCATGGTTGAAAATGAGAAATGGTGTACATTGGTCTCTATGAAGAGAAAGAATCAGGGGCTGTAGTGGTGATATCACACCTGGAGTGGGGAGGCTGTTGAATTTGTCTAAAAAAAATTCTAACTTGTGCTCACGACCACAGTTTTCACTCCTTTTACATAAGTTTTTCACTGAATTGTAGACATATCTGTGTGGGGATAAAGATAATATGTTAACTTCCCTCTTCTCTGCAGCAGTGGAAGTAAATTAAGCCTTAAGCTGATGTAAACAGTTCCTACAGGTGTTCCAATCTATTTTGGTAACTTACCACAACAAAATCTGTCTGTGCAATGGCAGTGTTGAAAGACTGCGTTACTACACAGTTTTTCTTTCTTTATAGTACCTGTGAAAATCTAAGCACCACCTACAAACATTCAACTGCAACACATGCCATGCATCAGCACAAAACCCTGAGATGATTTGTCAGCACTCACTTATTTTAACTTGTTGGACAAATAGCAACTCTCAAATAGAAGAAAAGTGAAGTAAATGATACAAATATTAAAAAGAGAAAAAATAAGACATTTGGATCAATTCCCCAGCACTACCTTACTCTTTCTCTGTTGGTCTGTCTCTCTCTGTTTCCCCAGGTACCTTACAGCAGCTGATTTCAGATACAATGGTCCGCTGGGCTCAGGAGTCAGTTATTGAGGATCCAGAGCTGGTCAGAGCTATGTTTGTCCTGCTGCATCGCCAATATGATGGCATTGGAGGACAGGTAGGTGTGTGTGCATGCGTATTAATTTCAATAGTGTTACAGTGGGGTGTCCCTCACCAGAGGGACTGAGAGAGAGAATGAGGACTCAAAGTGCAAAACACAGGGCTAGATGGAAAACAAGAGTCTATATTGCCAGAACTGAAGCAGGTGGAGAGGACAAAGTCAATGGGTTATGTGTGGTCCAAACCAGGGTTGAGTAGTGGAGGCTGAGAAGACCAGGACGGGCAGGTAAGCAGGAAGGTGAGCAGCAGGAACCAGGAGGATTAGAGGACCAGGATGACAGGTCAGTAGACAGGAGAACAGCAGGAACCAGAGGACGGGAAGGTGAGTAGACAGGCGAGCAGCAGGAACCAGGAGGATCGCCGGAGGTAATCATGGCAGGGACCAGGAACCAGAGGACAGGGCTGGTGAGCAAAGTAACACTCGCCATCAGGCAAACAGAGTAACACTCGCCGTCAGGCAAACAGAGTGAAACAGAGTAACACTCGCTGTCAGGCAAACGGAGTGAAACAGAGTAACACTCGCCATCAGGCAAACAGGTTAGATCGCCGGAGATAATCACGGCGGGGAAGATCGCCAATGTGTGTGGCCGTATCAAACATAAAAAACTTGATTTCACCATCACTTTCACCGTATCAGTGTCAATATGTTAAATCTCTGTTAACATAGTCACTATCACCATATGAATGTCAATGATCTGGCAAAGCAGGAACGTCTGCCAGGTCTTTAAGTAGGGAGCGGCCAGGTAATGAGGGGATATGCTTCAGCTGTGTATTACACCCAGAGGGTAAATTAGCAGGTGATGCGTCTCAGCTGTGTCGCTGAGCCTGCGGGATGAGAGAGAGAGAAAGGGGAAGAGAGGCAGGTCGCACCGAGCGGACCTGACAAATAGACCAGCTTACTCTGCTGCATTAAATTTTAATAGCAATATTGGTCAAGTCTGTATGGCTTCATATGAAGTGTCACACCAAGGCATGTTAATATTTTCTTTAAAACCAGCAGTTTATATACAGGTGCAGCTCAATAAATTAGAATATTGTGGAAAAGTCCATTTATTTCAGTAATTCAACTCAAATAGTGAAACTCATGAATTATATAAATTCAGTACACACAGACTGAAGTAGTTTAAGCTGTTGGGTCTTTTAATTGTGATGATTTTGCTCACATTTAACAAAAACCCACCAATTCACTGTCTGAATAAATTAGAATATGGTGACAGGCCACTCAGCTAGTCAACTCAAAACACTTGCAAAGGTGTCCTGAGCCTTCAAAATGGTCACTCAGTTTGGCTCACTAGGCTACACAATCATGGGGAAGACTGCTGATCTGACAGTTGTCCAGAAGACAATCATTGACACCCTTCACAAGGAGGGTAAGCCACAAACATTCATTGCCAAAGAAGCTGGCTGTTCACGGAGTGCTGTATCCAAGCATGAAAGCAGAAAGTTGAGTGGTAGGAAAAAGTGTGGAAGAAAAAGATGCACAAACACCCAGAGAACTGCAGCCTGGAGAGGCTTGTCAAGCAATATCGATTCAAGAATTTGGGTGAACTTCACAAGGAATGGACTGAGGCTGGGGTCAAGGCATCAAGGGCCACCACACACCGCTGTGTCAAGGAATTTGGCTACAGTTGTTGTATTCCATTCCATTCCTATTCCTCTTGTCAAGCCACTCCTGAACCACAGACAACATCAGAGGCGTCTTAGCTGGGTTAAGGAGCAGAAGAACTGGACTGTTGCCCAGTGGTCCAAAGTCCTCTTTTCAGATGAGAGCAAGT